AAAAAGAGAGAGATACAGGCTGACTGTTGTTTCTTCTGTTACAGAAAATTCTACTGCTTCTGTATCCATAATACACTCTTCTATTGATCACTGATAGGTTCTTGTTGCTCAGGTACGGGGTTATATTGTGTTTTAGAAGATTCTTGAGTTTCAGCTTCATTATCATGTTCATCTTTTTGCTTAATGTAGGATATTTCATTTTCACTTTGTGCATCTAAAACACACTCTACTCCTTTCTCATAACATACTTTTTGTTTTTCGCTTTCTGTTAATTCTACTGTTTCTGTAACTATAATTTTATCTCCTGGTGACTCACAGTCTGATTGTTGTTTCTCTGTTACAGAAAATTCTACTGCTTCTGTATCCATAATACACTCTTCTATTGACTCACTGATAGGTTCTTTTTGCTCAGGTACGGGGTTATATTGTGTTTTAGAAGATTCTTGAGTTTCAGCTTCATTATCATCTTCATCTTTTTGCTTAATGTAGGATATTTCATTTTCACTTTGTGCATCTATAACACACTCTACTTCTTGTTCATAACATGTTTTTTGTTTTTCGCTTTCTGTTAATTCTACTGTTTCTGTAAATACAATTTTATCTCCTGGTGACTCACAGTCTGATTGTTGTTCTCTCTGTTAAGAAAATTTCTAGCTTCTGTATCCATAATACACTCTCCTATTGACTCACTGATAGGTTCTTGTTGCTTAGGTACGGGGTTATATTGTGTTTCAGAAGATTCTTGAGTTTCTGCTTCATTATCATGTTCATCTTTTTTGCGTAATGTAGGTATTTCATTTTCACTTTGTGCATCTAATAACACACTCTACTTCTTGTTCATAACATGTTTTTGTTTTCGTTTCTGTTAATTCTACTGTTCTGTAAATACAATTTTATCTCCAGGTGACTCACAGTCTGATTTTGTTTCTCTGTTACAAAAAATTCTACTATTCTGTATCCAAATACACTCTCCTATTGACTCACTGATAGGTTCTTGTTGCTCAGACGGAGGTGTATGGTATTTCAGAAGATTCTTGAGTTCTGCTTCAATTACATGTTCATCTTTTGCTTAATGTAGGTATTTCATTTTCACATTGTGCATCTATAACACACTCTACTTCTTGTTCATAAACATGTTTTTGTTTTTTCGCTTTCTGTTAAATCTTCTGTTTCTGTAACTATAATTTTATCTCCGGTGACTCACAGTCTGATTTGTTTCTCTGTTACAGAAAATTCTACTGCTTCTGTATCCATACACTCTCTATTGACTCACGATAGGTTCTTTTTGCTCAGGTACGGAGGTGTATGGTATTTCAGAAGATTCTTGAGTTTCTGCTTCATACATGTTCATCTTTTGCTTATGTAGGATCATTTTCACATTGTGCATCTATAACACACTCTACTTCTTGTTCATAACATGTTTTTTGTTTTTCGCTTTCTGTTAATTTTCTGTTTTTGTAACTATAATTTTATCTCCGGTGACTCACAGTCTGATTCTTGTTTACAGTTACAGAAATTCTACTGCTTCTGTATCCATAATACACTCTTCTATTGACTCACTGATAGGTCTTGTTGCTCAGGTACGAGGTGTATGGTATTTCAGAAGATTCTTGAGTTTCTGCTTCATTTCATGTTCATCTTTTTGCTTAATGTAGGATATTCATTTTCACTTTGTGCATCTATAACAACTCTACTTTTGTTCATAACATGTTTTTTGTTTTTGCTTTCTGTTAATTCTACTGTTTCTGTAAATACATTTTTATCTCCTGGTGAATCACAGTCTGATTGTTGTTTCTCTTTGTTACAGAAAATTCTACTGCTTCTGTATCCATAATCATCTCTATTGACTCACTGATAGGTTCTTGTTGCTCAGGTACGGGGTTATATTGTGTTTCAGAAGATTCTTGGTTTCTGCTTCATTATCATGTCATCTTTTTGCTTAATGTAGGATATTTCATTTTCACTTTGTTCATCTATAACACACTCTACTTCTTGTTCATAAAATGTTTTTGTTTTTCGCTTTCTGTAATTCTACTGTTTCTGTAACTATAATTTTATCTCCTGGTGACTCACAGTCTGATTGTTGTTTCTCTGTTGCAGAAAATTCTCTGCTTCTGTATCCAATAACTCTTCTATTGACTCACTGATATTTCTTGTTGCTCAAGTACGGAGGTGTATGGTATTTCAGAAGATTCTTGAGTTTCTGCTTCATTATCATGTTCACCTTTTTGCTAACGTAGGTATTTCATTATACTTGTGCATCTATAACACACTCTACTTCTTGTTCATAACATGTTTTTGTTTTTCGCTTTCTGTTAATTCTTCGTTTTGTAACTATAATTTTATCTCCAGGTGACTCACAGTCTGATTTTGTTTCCGTTACAGAAATTCTACTGCTTCTGTATCCATAATACACTCTTCTATTGACTCACTGATAGGTCTTGTTGCTCAGGTACGGAGGTGTATGTTTTCAGAAGATTCTTGAGTTTCTGCTTCATTTCATGTTCATCTTTTTGCTTAATGTAGGATATTTCATTTCACTTTGTGCATCTAAACACACTCTATCTTTTTGTTCATAACATGTTTTTGTTTTTTTGCTTTTGTTAATTCTACTGTTTCTGTAACTATAATTTTATTCCTGGTGACTCACGCTCTGATTGTTGTTTCTCTGTTACAGAAAATTCTTCTGCTTCTGTATCTATAATACACTCTTCTATTGACTCACTGATAGGTTCTTGTTGCTCAGGTACGGAGGTGTATGGTATTTCAGAAGATTCTTGAGTTTCTGCTTCATTATCATGTTCATCTTTTTGCTTAATGTGGGATATTTCATTTTCACTTTGTGCATCTATAACAGACTCTACTTCGTGTTCATAACATGTTTTTTGTTTTTCGCTTGCTGTTAATTCTTCTGTTTCTGTAACTATAATTTTATCTCCTGGTGACTCACAGTCTGATTGTTGTTTCTCTGTTGACAGAAATTCTCTGCTTCTGTATCCATAATAACTCTTCTATTGACTCACTGATAATTTCTTGTTGCTCAGTACGGAGGTGTTGGTATTTCAGAAGACTTGAGTTTCTGCTTCATTATCATGTTCATCTTTTTGCTTAATGTAGGGTATTTCATTTTCACTTTGTGCATATATAACACACTCTACTTCTTGTTCATAACATGTTTTTTGTTTTTCGCTTTCTGTTAATTCTTCTGTTTCTGTAACTATAATTTTATCTCCTGGTGACTCACGCTCTGATTGTTGTTTCTCTGTTACAGAAAATTCTTCTGCTTCTGTATCTATAATACAGTCTTCTATTGACTCACTGATAGGTTCTTGTTGCTCAGGTACGGAGGTGTATGGTATTTCAGAAGATTCTTGAGTTTCTGCTTCATTATCATGTTCATCTTTTTGCTTAATGTAGGATATTTCATTTTCACTTTGTGCATATATAACACACTCTACTTCTTGTTCATAACATGTTTTTTTATTTTCACTTTCGGTTAATTCTACTGTTTCTTTAAATACAATTTTATCTCCTTGTGACTCACACTCTGATTGTTGTTTCTCTGTTACAGAAAATTCTTCTGCTTCTGTATCTATAATACACTCTTCTATTGACTCACTGATAGGTTCTTGTTGCTCAGGTACGGATGTGTATGGTATTTCAGAAGATTCTTGAGTTTCTGCTTCATTATCATGTTCATCTTTTTGCTTAATGTAGGGTATTTCATTTTCACTTTGTGCATATATAACACACTCTACTTCTTGGTCATAACATGTTTTTTTATTTTCACTTTCTGTTAATTCTACTGTTTCTTTAAATACAATTTTATCTCCTGGTGACTCACAGTCTGATTGTTGTTTTTCTGTTACAGAAAATTCTACTGCTTCTGTATCCATAATACGCTCTTCTATTGACTCACTGATAGGTTCTTGCTGCTCAGGTACGGATGTGTATGGTATTTCAGAAGATTCTTGAGTTTCTGCTTCATTATCATGTTCATCTTTTTGCTTAATGAAGGGTATTTCATTTTCACTTTGTGCATATATAACACACTCTACTTCTTGCTCATAAAATGTTTTTTGGTTTTCGCTTTCTGTTAATTCTACTGTTTCTGTAAATACAATTTTTTCTTCTGGTGACTTACAGTCTGATTGTTGTTTTTCTGTTACAGAAAATTCTACTGCTTCTGTATCCATAATACGCTCTTCTATTGACTCACTGATAGGTTCTTGTTGCTCAGGTACGGATGTGTATGGTATTTCAGAAGATTCTTGAGTTTCTGCTTCATTATCATGTTCATCTTTTTGCTTAATGTAGGTTTTCATTTTCACTTTGTGATCATATAACACACTCTACTTCTTGTTCATAACATGTTTTTTTTCACTTTCTGTTAATTCTACTGTTTCTTTAAATACAATTTTATCTCCTGGTGACTCACAGTCTGATTGTTGTTTTTCTGTTACAGAAAATTCTACTGCTCCTGTATACATAATATACTCTCCTATTGACTCACTGATAGGTTCTTGTTGCTCAGATACGGGTTATATTGTGTTTTAGAAGATTCTTGAGTTTCGCTTCATTTCATGTTCATCTTTTGCTTAATGTAGGATATTTCATTTTCACTTTGTTCATCTATAACACACTCTACTTCTTGTTCACAAAATGTTTTTTGGTTTTCGCTTTCTGTTAATTCTACTGTTTCTGTAAATACAATTTTATCTCCTGGTGACTCACAGTCTGATTGTTGTTTCTCTGTTACAGAAAATTCTACTGCTTCTGTATCCATAATACACTCTTCTATTGACTCACTGATAGGTTCTTGTTGCTCAGATACGGGGTTATATTGTGTTTTAGAAGATTCTTGAGTTTCAGCTTCATTGTCATGTTCATCTTTTTGCTTAATGTAGGATATTTCATTTTCACTTTGTGCATCTATAACACACTCTACTTTTTGTTCATAACATGTTTTTTGTTTTTTGCTTTCTGTTAATTCTACTGTTTCTGTAAATACAATTTTATCTCCTTGTGAATCACAGTCTGATTGCAAGAATCTTCTGAAATACCATACACCTCCGTACCTGAGCAACAAGACCCTATCAGTGAGTCAATAGAAGAGTGTATTATGGATACAGAAGCAGTAGAATTTTCTGTAACTGTGAAACAAGAATCAGACTGTGAGTCACCTGGAGATAAAATTATAGTTACAAAAACAGAAGAATTAACAGAAAGCGAAAAACAAAAAACATGTTATGAACAAGAAGTAGAGTGTGTTATAGATGCACAACGTGAAAATGAAATACCCTACGTTGAGCAAAAAGGTGAACATGATAATGAAGCAGAAACTCAAGAATCTTCTGAAATACCATACACCTCCGTACTTGAGCAACAAGAAATTATCAGTGAGTCAATAGAAGAGTCTATTATGGATACAGAAGCAGCAGAATTTTCTGCAACAGAGAAACAACAATCAGACTGTGAGTCACCAGGAGATAAAATTATAGTTACAGAAACAGTAGAATTGACAGAAAGCGAAAAACAAAAAACATTTTATGAACAAGAAGTAGAGTGTGTTATAGATGAACAAAGTGAAAATGAAATATCCTACATTAAGCAAAAAGATGGACATGATAATGAAGCAGAAACGCAAGAATCTTCTGAAACACAATATAACCCCGTACCTGAGCAACAAGAACCTATCAGTGAGTCAATAGCAGAGCGTATTATGGATACAGAAGCAGTAGAATTTTCTGTAACAGAGAAACAACAATCAGACTGTGATTCACAAGGAGATAAAATTGTATTTACAGAAACAGTAGAATTAACAGAAAGCAAAAAACAAAAAACATGTTATGAACAAAAAGTAGAGTGTGTTATAGATGCACAAAGTGAAAATGAAATATCCTACATTAAGCAAAAAGATGAACATGACAATGAAGC